ACTAAAATACCCCCAAAACTTTACAGGGCTATTTTGGAAAAACTTTTTCATGTAAATTTTTTTTTTTTTTCAATTATTTACCCATTTTTTATGAATACACGCCTAAAATTTCAAGTGATTTGGATTTAAAAAAATAAATTAAAATTCAAACATTACAGAACATTTATGATCGTTAGATCGACCCTGATACAAAACTTGAAAATCTTGAAAATTGACGGTCCATGCATCTTGATGTCGAGATTATCAATTTGAGGATACTTGGGCATCAAAACAACCTCTTCTAATGAAATTTGTAAGGTACGCTGTAATTTGATTGTTTAGATCCTCGGCTCTCTATAAACTTTTTCCTTTTTTAAAATGCCCCAATATAAATCAAATTTTTTTAAATCTATTTTTCTAATACTGTTTTTGCTGTCATTTTTTTTAATTTATTGAGGGGTTTTCAACCATGTGCAGGATTTGTTCGAGTCTTCAGTTGCCTAGCTGGGCTATGCCCAAGTACCTTGACCGAGTCAATTTTCTGTACATTGTTGTAAGTGTAACACCAACAAAATTGTACATAAGAAGCTAAGACATTTGGTTCTCAATATTCCTACTTCATGACCAATGAATTTGACCCAATATTATCAGTGTTCTTTTAACAAAAAATAATTCTTGCCATTTTATGCATTAAGTTTCTATGATTTGAAATAGAGGTAGTTTCTGTTGGCTGAGTGTGGCTATTAAAAGCTGTATGAGTGCTTGTAATAAACATTTTGGTATAATGGAATATGAACTGAGTGGAAGTGTGATAATTCATGGGCCAAACTAAGCAAATAATATTTGTTGATATCGAACTGAGCTTTTACGAACTAGGCAGTCGGTTGAGAAAAACTTATATTACCTGGGTATAGAAAACTATCCGATAAGGGTTTTAATAGGTCATCTCTTGATGAGGTCGGAGTATACCCGGATATGTGAGCCGAGGGACTGTTGGCCCTTGTATGTGATGGTGGCCTTAAGAGACAGAGGCCAAAGCCACATCCGTGTGCCATCACACGACGTGCATATATGATAGTTGTTTCGAAAAAGCGAATTAGCTTTCAAGATGAAGCTTATGCATATGCGAGAGATACCCCTATGCGACATATGAGCTATGGACACATCAGGTCTGAGTGATCTTGGTACGTCTCTAGGGACGAACTTGAAATCCACAAACTAGGATTATGACCACTTACTTATTAGCTAGATTTTGGTGATCTACTAATGAACCCCTGCATGGACTGTGGGTCACAAGTAACACTGGGTCGGTTTAAGAAAGCAAGTGTGGACCTTAGTCTACAGTTGAAGGTAGAGTGCCTCAGTGTTTATTTATTTAATTCTTAGACCATATGGATCATTTTCCAATCTAATGAATTTAATTATATTGGTTTTAATGATATATGATTTTTAGAATTGTTATTTGAATTTTTTTTTATCTATGGATATTTTATTTATCAAATTTAAATTTATAAAAATCGAGATATTGATTTTAAAATGATTTAATTATTTTTTTTTGAGTTTTATGAATTTCTATAAATCATATAATATTTTAATTAATTTGATTATTTCATGGGAGGTCCAATAAGTTATATGGGCCTACCATTGCATTGTGGGTGGGGCCCATGAGTGCCACCTAGGGTGATACGCCCCCCCCTTAAGGAGCTGTCCAATTTTTTTGGATCAAGCTTCGGCTTGAAGAAAAAGGTTTGTGACGTTTTAAGTTTTTGCCTTGAGGAAGTTTTAAATAGATTTTGAAAAGCATGAGGAGGCTTGTGCATATTTTTTGGTAAGTACAATATTATGTTTGAATTAATTTCTATTGATGGGAAAATAGTTTAGGAAGTAGGGGATAAAGGTTCTAGCACCTTATATTGATGACCCATCTATGAACCTGAGGGTTCAAATGTCTCACCCCACAAGTCCCCTAAAATCAATAGTGCATATTCAATATCACAAGCCATGGAAAACTCTAAGAAATCCTAATCTTATTTTTAGCACTATATAAAATGAGGACCCCAGCCCATAATTCACCAAAATATCTCTCTTATCCCTCTAAATATTATCTCTCTTTCCCTTTAGTAAACTTAGGGGGCACACCCTAACCTAGAAGGTTTCTCTCTCTAGAATTTTGGTAAGGGGCATATCCCACCTAGATGGTATTATCTCTCTTATGGTACAATATCTTGATCCTAAGGGATGGGTAGAAGTAAGTAAGTACTATCTCTCTTAAATTAGGTTTTATGAGTTGTACTTAAGTTTGAGATTTGTGATCAAGAGCAGTTCAAAGTTCCATTGGAAGATTTTGCCTTACCTTGCTTTCTCTAGATTGAGATTAAAGGCTGATCGTTGATCTTGCGTCATCAGATGGTGGTGATTCGGTGTAGAGTGTAATAAATCTGTTTAAGGTAATCTTCGACACTCTCTTTTTTTTTCTTGTCATATTCAATTATATTGTCTTTATATTCTCAAGCATAAAAATTGTGGTTATTTTATTTGTTTAAAGAAAATTGGTTTAGTACCATCAATGTTTTAAGATCTAAAATTTGCTACTTTTATTTTATTTGAAGCAAGAGTTTATTGTAATAAAATTACTTATAAGTGATCTTTGCTAAAACAAAAAAGAAAATGAAAAGTAAAGAAGTGAAAAAAAAGACATATATATATATACCCCGGCAAGATTACATTAGTCTTTCTTTCAATTTCAATAACCAGCAAAGGAAAAAACCCACATTATTTGTTCCCATAACTTGCCTAAATCCAAAAAATTAGTATTAATTCTGTTTTGGTTGAGAAACAATAGAGCCAAAAAGAGGGACAAAGGAAGAGAGAGAGAAAAAGATTGACTGAGAAAGATCTAATTGGTTTAGATTCGACTCAATAGGAGTCGAAATGAAAAAAGAAAAAAAAAAAAAAAAAAAAAATAATATATATATATATATATATATATATGTGTGCAAGGGGAGGATAGTTTATTATGTCTACTTTAAGTTTTTTTTAAAAAAATATTATCACTTCACAATGCATGCTTATAAACCTACGTTAATAACCAATTTCTGCTCAAAAGGAGATATTCTCGATTGCAATTTGACCAAAACAGCAAAGAGAATAACTTCATGGCAATTTTCCCAAGTTTTTGTAAGAATACTTTTTAAACGATTTATTGTGGTAATATTTTGTTTTTCTTCAAAATTTCAAGTTTCTCTGATGTAATTTACATATCAAGTTTTCTAAAAACTTATACTAACCAGTCCCGAGCCCGGGTAAATGAGTTGAGATGTATTAGATACGCAGCGAACGGAAAAATTTGACGAAACTTTCTATGCATCCTGAACGGATGGTGATGGAGAAAGTGCAGGCCCCCATTAGAGCCTTATTCTATTTCGAATAGCCCTTCATCTATTGATTGGATGTTGATGACCCAATGGACCATGATTTCTCCATGGTCCTTAGTATTATGTTATAGTTAACAAAGAGTGCATGGAACCTAGATACGAGCATAACAAAATAATAAAAGGATCCAAAATTGTAATGGATGCAAAATTGTCGTACTGTGCAGCACAGTCACTGCTTATATTTTTCAGGGGAGAAATCTATTTAAATTTTTTAAAAACTATCAAAAAACCAAAATTGCCACAAATCTTACAATCGATTCACACCCATCAAAAAACCAGACAGTCCATCAACCAAGAATGGGACAACAAGGTGACTTAAGCATGGTCCCTTCTCCCCGAAAAAGAGAACTGTAATTTTCCTTTTAATTTCTTTGACTGCTTATTTTGAAATTTTTCATTGAATTCTCTACAAACAAGCAACCGATGGAGGCTGGCCCTACCTACTCGAGGTGGTCATGGGGCCTGAGGGACAAGAACATGGAGGCATAGCGACGCAGACGACGCTCATCATCCTGAGCAACAATGGTCACTGTCATTGCTTTCTTGTGCTTGCGCCATGCTAGTTGTATGTTCACGGCGGCCCATGTGCGCCAGTTTGATGAATAATACCTGCAACAAAAAAAAAAAATTTACAAAAATTAGACGTTCATTTTCTGTTTAGCATAGGAAAGGTTGATGAATACTACCTGGAAGAAAACATTGTAATGGACCATGGTTTTTCTATGGCCATGGCATACTTTCACTTTATTATCTATTGTCAAAAAATTATATGGTCTCGCAGGAGCATTTCTTATTAGCAATATCTCTGGGGGAGACTCTATCTAGTAGAAAATATGCACTCCACATCAAGTAAAAGATAACATTCTAAATTGGATGATGGGATCTAAATGTTAGGAACGCAAAATCATTTTTATTCTTTTCGAAATACTTATTTGATGATTATAAACTAGATTCAAAATATCATATTAAAAAGAAAACTTCAGATACGTCTTTTGGAGGGAGTAAATGTATAGTGCAACAATATGTTTGAAGTCTGATTCTTACCTCTGAACTACCTAAAAGAGAGGAGTAAATGAGGGGTAAATCTATAGGTGCAAGGTCCGATGCTTATCCATATTAGAAGGAGAAGTAAATGAGGGGTAAATCTATAAGTGCAAGGTACGATGCTTATCCATATTAGAAGGTGTGCAACATTATAAAATTTGAAATTCACCATTCGAATTTCAATTAAAAAATTTAGCATATCCCAGCAAAAATTTGATAAATCCCAGAAAGCAATGTTTTGCTCCAAGACAATGAAGATGGTGCACCATTGTAGCTAAAAGTAAGCAATGGTACAATAACCATGGTCTACTAGTTTAGCCATAGGAACCCATGACCTTTCATTGCCAAAGACCGTGGTCGACCAGTGTGGCCACACAGGCATGTCAATAATTTTTTCTGCATCGACCCATGGAGGATCTGACACCCGTGTTTGAAAAAATGTTTGAAAACATATTGCATTAAGTACCTGGCTGTGCGTTTGAGCCTCTCATTCGCGAATTTGTATCGAAAATGTTCAGTAATGTACTTGAGGTCGGGGGCTTCCAAGGCAAAGGCCTCGGTGGGCTCAAGGCTCACAAAAGTGGCTGAGGAGGGTGGGAGGCGGTCCACGAAGGGCCGCCGGAGACACCATGAGAAGAGCTCATCACCAAGGAAGTTTCCAGGGCCCAGAGTGCATGTGGCAGTCATGCCCTTACTGAGCTTCTGACTGCGCTTCAGGTGACCCTTCACTATGAACACCATCCTTTGCACTGGATCACCTTCCGTTATTATCTGCTCTTCTTCAATGATAAGAGAAATACAGCCCAATATCAATTAGCAATTTACCACTAGTAGGACTATTAAAGTAAGTATGCTATAATCCATGGGATCATGTAATACAATGGTTTAAGAGTCATTACTGTCCATTCAATGTGTTGGATGGTGATGAAGGGAGAGTAGTACCTAGTCAACCTCCAACACCATCCGACCTATTGATGGGACAATGATAAACTATATGACCATAATAATATAGATTAGGAAAATTGTTTCATGCAGGCTGGACCACATTTCTACAACATGTAGTCCAGATGTATGAAGCATCCATCTTAAAGATGGATTTAAACACGTGGTCTATCTAAAAACAAGTGTAAGCAACGGTCCAAATGTTTTTTTAATATAATTATTATTTCTAGTTTTCAATTTTATTTTATTTTTCATATTCATGATCTCCATGTTAAAGATTATATATTCTCTAAAAATTAAGATTAAATTATATTTAAAAAATATATTTATTGCCAAGCTCGCATTTCTACAATATGTGGGCTGGCTGCATAGAAACCGTGTCCTATGGATTATCGTATACTTTGCTTTTATATAGTAATGATTTGTTGACATGTAGGATCTAATGTAAAATTTCTTACAGGGATACGTACGCCAATATTTGACATGGGAATGAGTGTCAACTCTAAAATATGTACATGACAAATTCGCATGTCATTTGAATAAAGGGAAGAACTAGTTTTAAAGTACACTGAAGTATATTTACGAGACACCTCAACTAGAAAGGGTAACAAAAAATATCTAAATTTATAAAGCATGAGACATACCAAGTCTTGAATCCTTAGCGGTCGTTTGGATACCTGGAAATATATTGTGTGTGAAATATATTACACATTACTGCGTAATACATTACATGCAAATGGATTGTTACTGTTTGGATAGTATTTAAATACAATCTAATAAATACATTGCTCTTACTTGACACGGTTCAATATGGAATTGTCTATGTCGCACATTAAATCTACTCTTACATTGTTCTCTTTTGACATAGCAATTTAATATGGAATTGTCTACAAAGTGACCATTTATCTTTTGTACACACAATCATTATTGTCTTTTAAATTTCAAAATGGATGGTTGTAATAGTGTCAATGAATAAATACAAAATTTTAAAAAAAAATTCACTTCATGACTCACATCAAGCTATCTAATTTGATATCTAATATTTGAGAATGATTGTGACATCCTCCATTCACAAAAGATATTCCAATCTGACATCTAATATTTGAGAATGATTGTGACCTCCATTTACAAAAGATAAATAGCCTCTTTGTAGACATTCCTATTTAATATTGAAATGCATGTGTATAGATAGCATGACTATACTATGCTTGTCATGCTTCAAAGAATAATAATTTAATAGTGTGAATTAATATTGGTCATAAAAATGGAGTGAACTATTTTAGTCACATCTTTTAAATATCGTTAATTTGTAATTTAAATAGAAAATGGTGATGTATTTTTTAAAAAAAATTATTGTGAAAGTAAAGTATTTTAAAAATTAAATTGAGATATTGGAAGACGCCAATGTGTAAGTAATTTATCATTTCTTTATCAGTATCTAAACCCTAATCCTAAAAAGTCCCTCTTTTTTTTTCCAAAAGAGTAATCATTATAATTTAAATAAAATATAATTTATCATTTTTTTCTCGATCCCTAATCCCAAAAAAAATCCTTTTTCTTTTTTTTTCAAAAGATTTAGTAATCATTATAATTTACCCACACGGAGGGTGGAAGAAGGACAGAGATGAGAGGCTTCCCAAAAAAATTGTTTTTTTTCAAAAGCGTAATCATTATAATTTAAATAAAATATAATTTATCATTTTTTGTCTCGATCTAAATCCTAATCCCAAAAAAATCCTTTTTTAAAAAAAAAAAAAGTAATCATTATAATTTACAGGCACGGAGGCTAGAAGATAGATATAGAAGAGAAGCTGAGTAGAGAGAACTGACATATCAGAAGAGCAAACATAGAACATGAACGCAGTGCCTGATGAAGAGAGAAAAAGGTTGAGGAAGCAAGGAAGAGGAGAGAGAGGATTCGAGCAAAATGATAGAAGAGAAAAATTGATACCATGATTTAGAAATGACCTTGAATCTGGAAAAAGGGAGCTTCAGAGAGGGGGAAGTGGTAGGCTTATCAAGTTTAGAAGAAAAAAGGGAACGGGAGAAGAGGATGTACGCAAGAGAGAGGGAAATAGACTTTTACCTAGTTTTGAGAGAAAATGGGAGTTTGAGAGGGAGAAGAGAATATAAGCAAGAGAGAGGAAAAATGACTTTTTAGAGGTGACTAGTAGATTACTTATATAATGCACTAATAAATGTATCCAAACAGTGTAAAGGTCCCATTTCATAGTAATCTATTTCCTGTAATATATTTTCTAGCATCCAAGCGGCCTTTAGTGTATGCATAAGTACTAAAAATTAGAAACATGGAAATCCATCTTATTTAGTGAAATTTATTAATAAACACATTATCACTAGCATAATATTGTGCAATAAAATAAGTAAAATAAATAAATAAATAAATTGGGTATTTTTATCATTTTATAATTAGATTGAGAAGCAAACTGAGAATCATTTCAACGCTACCTTCTCTTCTTTGGAAAACACCAGGGGCCTGACTCTGTCGCATATGTTGTCGAGGATAAGGTCATCTAAGCTCTTAAACAAGGGAACCTAAATTTATAAAAAAAAAAAACAAAAAAATTAGAAAAACACACAAGAGATATAGATAAAATAACTTTATGGCAATGAGTGAGAGAGAGGGGGTTCACATTCAAAAAGGAAACTATAAAAAAATATATATTAAAAAAACACACAATTAAGAGAAGCGTATACTTTCCCTATAACATAAAACTTATTTACTTCCCCTTATCCAATAATCCATGTTGAATTATTTACTTCTCCTTATCCAATAGGCCATGTTGAATGGACCACTAAGATGACGTCAATTACAATGTCATGTCTCTACACTATTTTATTTTTAATATTTTTCTACATATTATTTTGATACCAAATTTTGAGCGTCCAATCCTCTCATAAACTCCCACTTAGTAAAAAATATGAAACAACCTATTCCCAATATAATAAAATGATAAAAATAACCCCGAATTTTTCAAGAGATATTTTGGTTATCATATTTTATCAAAAAAATATTTTTAATATTGTTTTTAGGTAAAGATAGCAAGTACAAAATTTCATATTCATATAATTTATAGAAAGAAACTAAGATCAAATTACGCTGAACCGTTGGATCTAGACGTGAATGACCCACTTGATCAAAATTGGATGGCTAAGAGAGAGAGATTGGACCTGCTTGATGAGATCAAGGCAGAGATGTCGTTTGATGTCTCGGCGCAGGCCTTGGGGAAGGTCTTTGATCATTTCCATCTCATCCTCTCCTTTCATTGTAGCCCACTTTTGCTGCTCATAGTGCCTCACCCTCTGCCTAAGTCGTGATGGAAGCTGCCTTCTCTTCATCCACCACTCCATGTCACTCACTCTACGCTGCATCATCCTCTTCTTTGCCATCACCCCATGCAGGAAAACCTGCACTTTTACAGAGAGAAAGACACTTAGATCTATCACTGACTACAAATTAAGAGAGAGAGAGAGAGAGAGAGAGAGTAGTTGAGTAGTGTAGAATAAGTAGGTATATAGTTAAGAGTAGACGACT